CTGTCAGGCCGGGGCTGAGGACTCCCTGGAAGGGAACAAGCTTTTTCAGAGTCAGGGATACATAGTTTCAGATCTCAGCTCTGTAGTTTCCTTGCTAACGCTGTACTTTAGTTGCTCTACCTCAGTGTATCACAGTTGCCACCACCCATCTTCCCCAAACCTCTCTGACCTTCCATGTTCCCCATTTCAGCGACATCACCATCTACTCAGTGTTCTCACAACAAAACTTCTGCTCCCTTTTTCTCCCTAATACCAAGATGTCCAATCTTGGAACCAGATCTTGTTGATTCTGCTTCTAAAATGTTCCCATATCGGGCGCCTCCTCTTTCCCAACTGCCTCCACCCTAATTCAGGTCTCAGCACCTCTCACCCTACCCTGTGCCACCTGCATTACTGCGCTGCACAGCTTTTCCAGCTGTTTCTGCATGGACTGTGTTCTGATTGGTCTGTGCTTGCCATCCCGGTTGTAAAATCATACTGACATTTGCTGTATCATTCCTGCACTGGCAATGGCACCTGTCCCTCTGCAGCCAGTCTCCCTGCCCTTGGCCACCCCCTGCCCCACTCTGTAGGTTGTCCCCTGTATCCCGCCAGGTTCATCCTTCTAAGTGAGGGCTCTAGTCGTCTCACTTTCACAGTTAAAAACCTCTGATGGATCTTCATGTTCTGTAGTAATGATCTCCATACTTTTTGTATTACACACGCTCTTGGGAAAAATATTTTGTTAAGAAACCCCCAATGTAGATATACCAATTTATTTATTTATTTAGAGACGAGGTCTCACTCTGTTTCCCAGGCTGCAGTGCAGTAGTGCGACTCCCAGCTAATTTTTGTATTTTTAGTAGAGATGGGGTTTTGCCATGTTGGCCAGGCTGGTCTCAAACTCCTGACCTTAGGTGATCCACCTGCCTCAGCCCCGCAAAGTGCTGAGATTACAGGTGTGAGCCACCACACCTAGCCAGTATACCTGTTTATAACTTATATGTGTCTATTGTAGCAGTATATTATTTACATTATAAACTATACCCAAAATAGAAAATTTTCAAGTATAAAGTTAAAAACAAATCAAAATTCTAATATTTTCTTCCCATATCCCAGCAGATTATATTGTAGATTCCCTGGGATCCACCATTCACCCCTTTGGAGACCCCAGGGTACAGGATACAGCCTGGACTTGGCCAATGCCAGGTCTGGTATTGTCCAGTGTGCACCCTGAGGTCCTAATTGTCTTTTCTAGCCTCTCATTTCATTACTCCTTCTCAGTAGTGCTCCCCTGCTGCCAAACTCAAACACATACAGTCCTCCCAACATAGCTGAGGCCTTTTTACTCACCTGTTAGTAGCCAACCTCTGGTTCTGTTCACACCTTTCCAATCCTTTCATTGTAACATGATTATCATAAAAATACACATAAGACAATGGCCTTAAGCAAATAGAAATTTGCTATGTGTAAAGTTGGTTCCTTATAACTCAAGCATCAGAAAACTCCGACCACAGCTTCACTATGATTTGATTTTTCCCTGCCCCTCCATACTCTCTATGAGTTTGGATGACTAGAAACCCACCAACTTCCATCCGCAATAGATTTGGATTTTCCCAAATGTCATATAAAAGAAATCCTGGGCTGGGCGCAGTGGCTCACGCCTGTAATCCCAGCACTTTGGGAGGCCGAGGTGGGCAGACCGTGAGGTCAGGAGATCGAGACCATCCTGGCCAATATGGCACGCACCTGTAATCCCAGCTACTCGGGAAGCTGAGGCAGGAGGATCACTCGAGCCCAGGAGTTTAAGATCAGCTTGGGCAACATAATGAGACCCTGTCTCACAACAACCACCATATGATCTTATCCATTCTTACTTAAAATGGGGAAATCGGCTGGGTGCAGTGGCTCAAGCCTATAATTCCAGCACTTTGCGGGGCCAAGGTAGGAGGCTCACTTGAGCCCAGGAGGTTGAGGCTGCAATGAGCCATGATCGTGTCACTGCACCCCAGCCTGGGCAACAGAGTGAGACCCTGTCTCAAAGTGGGAAAATTGAGGCCCATAGACCTTTTCCAAGGTTAGTGCAGAGTTGAAGGCAGAGCTGGACGTGGAATGCAGAACTTTTGCCCCTTAGTTTCTCAGCATCCCACCTCTTTGGGCTCACACTAACCTGGAAAATAGAACCTACGTCCAGATTTCAACACCTAGATCCACTAATCTGGAACCAAAGTTAAGACTGTGCTGTGCACTGTAGACCTCTCGGAAGTTCACTGACTTCGGTTTTGCACCTCCAGGTCTGATACGTGGCGCCTGGTGAACCCACCAGCACGGCCCCACCTCGAAAACTCTCTCAGACGCCCCTCAGCAGTCCACAATGGGCAGAAGGTGACAGCCATGGCAACGAGGATCACAGCCCGCGTGGAAGGTGGTGGTTACCACAGCAACCGCAGTGTCTTCTGCACCATCCTGTGAGGACATAGGCCTGTGTGCTCCCTGTAGGTAGGGCCACATCTGTGTCCCCAGCTCTCAGCCTGGGGCTGAGGTGGGATTAGTGGCCTGAGGAGAGGAAGGCCAGCTCCCAAAGGACTTTACTGAACCGTACTGTGAATGTGTCAAAGTCCCAAAGCCAGGTGAGCTCAGACCCCACAGCTTGAGGAAGGGGGCCGGATGCAGGGCCAGCTCAGCCTGAACAATCCCCTCCCACTCGGCCTTTCCTTTGGGGCCCTCACCAGCCTGCAGGGGTCACTGTCGTGCACTTGGCTGCATGGCTGGTTCTATCGGGCCCTAGGTGCTGCTGTGTTGGGTGTGATGGGAGGGGTTGGAGGGAGCCAGGAGCACTGGCTTCTCCCTGAGGACACTGGGCACAAGAGTGTTGGCTTCTTCTATCCCTGGCACTGTCCTTTGCACTTGTTTGGTGGCCCCAATGTGAGTCGCTGTACAAAATGCTGCCTTTACTATTTTCTAAGAAATTACTTTTCTGTGAACCAAAACTAACAAAAACCTCAATAACCAAAATAAAGTTTTATATTTTAAGAGGCATTTCTGGAAGGCTCTCCTTGGTTTGGGCATATACTGGGGCTTATAGATGGAAGAGTTGTGTCCAGTCATTCCCAGAAATAAGCCTCAAAGTGTCAAACCCATCTGAACTTTAAAAGTAATCACACATTCTACCCTGAGGATGCTTTAGAAGTCCTTTTCTGAGAGATTTTTTCCAAGGAGTCGTCACATACTTGATTTTCATGGCTTAAAGAGGCAAGTTGATTCCCTGCCCACACCTCTGCTAGAGGAAGACAGCTCCCAAAGGACTTTACTGAACCGGACTGTGAATGTGTCAAAGTCACAAAGCTCAGGCAAGACTCCATTCTATCGTGACTCCCTAATGGAGGCCCCTAGGTGCTGGGTAAACTTCTCTCAGAAGAGCTGAGCTCTCCCTCCCTCCCTTCACTGACCCAGCCTTCCAAGCACTGAGTATCACAGATCTCAGCTGCTCCCACTTGAAGCAGGACCCTGGAGATCTGAGGATGGGCCCAGGCCAAGTACCTAAGCCTTCCTGTGTCACACTCCTGTCTTACTGCACCCCTCTGGACACCACTTGTCCATCTCCTCAGTGGCACATACGATTGGTTAGCAGTTAGTATCCATTAATGTCCTTCTAGAATGCCTGCTGTAACTAGAGGCTGGTGAGCTGAAACCTATTTCAAAGACTCCCTTGCTGCTAGGATTCTATATATGTGCACCAGAAGGAAGCAAGGTGGAGGCCAGCTGCCTGATCTTTTGGCTGTCTTTGCTGACAAGGTGGTGGAAATGCAAACCCTGAAAGCATGGGTAGCTGAACTCAGCATCCCAGTGTTGAATCTCCAGAAGCAGTTATGGAGTAGAAATGGCTTCTGAGCCCCCTGATGGCAACCCCAGCAGTGTTTTTAAACTCAGCAGTCCTGATGACAACCTTCCAATTCCCAGTCCTCTAGCCCATCTCACAATTCTATAGCACCCTATCCATATAGTAAAATCCTTTCTTAAGACATCTAGAGCAGCCAGGCATGGTGGCTCACACTCACACCTGTAATCCCAGCACTTTGGGAGGCCAAGGCGGGCAGATCATAAGATGAGGAGTTCAAGACCAGCCTGACCAACATGGTATAACCCCGTCTCTACTAAAAATACAAATATTAGCCAGGTGTGGTGGTGCCTGTAACCCCAGCTACTTGGGAGGTTGATGCTGGAATGCAGTAAGTCGAGATCACGACTCTGCACTCCAGCCTGGGCAACAGTGAGAGAGACTCTGTCACACACACACAAAAAAAATACCTAGAGCAAATTATTTTCTGAACTGAACACTGACTGATTCATCCTCTTCAAGGTGTGGTTTTCAAAGCTGACTCCTGCCTTTTATGTGGCTTCAGCCAGGCAGAGAAGTTGGGTCACCACTTCCTCTGACTTGGCTCCACCCCATTACAACAGGCTGTACCCTACTGGTATGTAAGAACCCCATCACAATGGTGACCCAGTTAGCTTCTGATAAATTCTGAAGCATCATTTTCCAGGTGTGCTGAACCTGATCCTCCTTCCTCACCACGTACTCCACTGGCCCTTCCAGACCTAAGCATGCCGCTTCACATTTCTCTTTGGAAACCTTCATCCATTAGATTTGACTCAGCCAGGTGAGATCCTTGAGCCTAAGCCACGCCCCACCCTCCCAAATCCCCAGACTGGTGAACCAACGTGGGAAACTTGACATTTATAATCACAGCAATAACGCCAAAGGAGAGAGATGAAGTCCAACCTGGCCATCACTTTTTACTTCTGCATAAGACAGCACAATGGAGGTGCTGGCTTCTGGCTTCAATACCTGGGCCAAAGCAAAGCTTCTTTTTTTCCTTATTTTACTTTTTTGAGACAAGGTCTCACTGTCGCCCAGGCTGGAGTGTGGCCATGCAATCATAGCTCACTGCAACCTTGATTTCCCAAGCTCAAGTAATGGTCCTGCCTCAGCAGGGATTACAGGCACACACCACCAGACCTGACTTTTTATTTTTTTATTTTTTGCAGTAGAGACAAGGTCTCCCTTATGTTGCCCAGATTGGTTTCGAACTCCTGAGCTCAGGTGATCTTCCCTCCTCAACCTCCCAAAGTGCTGGGATTTCAGGTGTGAGCCTTTCCTTTTTAAAAAATAAAAATGGAAATGAATAGGACCAGCCAGTGGCTATGATGCAGCCAAAATCTCCTGTCTGGAAAGCAGGCACCTAGGTAATCTTCCTCCGCTTTGACAGGCGGTCTGAGGTCTGGGCGGGAGGCAGTGGGAGGGACAGGGTGCCCAGTTTGTGATCTTCTTCATCACCGGCAGCCACAGACACCCTTCTTTTGGAGATCTTCAGCCTCATGGCTTTGGCTATCTCCATCATCCTAAGGAAGACACAGAACAATGGGAGAGACTCCTCAATGTGACTGTTCAGGGAGGTATGGCAAAAGGTAGCAGCACATTCATGCTCCAGGCCATAAAGACAGAATCCCAAAGGTTGCCAGCAGGAGCAAAGCCCCAGGCAGAGGGACAGGCAAGGTCCCCTCACCCACTGAAAGCCCTCAGATAGACAATTTCATTTTAATGTGCCGCCCTTCGAAAGATCCATGTGGGTGATGAAAAACCAGACTATCTTAGAGCCCTATGGACAACTTTCTTTACCACCCATAACCAAATTTTTAGCAATCAGCATTGAGCACTTGCTAGAATCTGATGGGTTCCAAGTACCTGTTCTCTTTTTTCAGCCCCAGGGCCTGTGGGAACACGGTCTGTGGACAGCTCTCAGAACAGTCCCTCCATGGACTGCTAGGAGAGTCCAGACGGAGGTGTGTTCACTGGATCTCCTAGACACCATCTGGGTCCCTGGATATCACATGCCCCTATATCACTGACAAAGATCAGCTGACCCCACGGTTTAGGTTCCCAGGCAGCTCTGCCCCTACTGTCTGAATCTCCTCTACAAGGTTAGAGGGAGCCTGAAAGGTCATCCCCACCACCAGCTCTCCCAGTCGGGTCAGAAAAATGCAAATATGACATCCCTGCCAAACAGTGGTTCAAGGTTCCACCTGTCCTTGAACACCTCCCCTGGGCAAGCCCTTCCATCTGATTCTGAGGAAGCTCTTCTTACTAAGTGGCAGTTGGGTTCTCCTACAACTTCCATCCTTGGCTGCATCCTCAGAACCATACAAAATCCCTCTCCCCAGTAACAGAAATTCAGAGAATGGAGGCTGCTTGGTTATTCAGGAACAGAATGTTATGGAAAGGCTCAGGTCTGAAGTCCAACTGCTCCCCTCTTGGTTGTATAACTTTGAGAAAGTCATGTACTTTTCTAAACCTGATTCTTCAATTGTTTTCTAGGGAAATCAATGAGATAATGACAATTTAAGACTGTGCCTTGCAAAGAGAAGGCACTCAGTAATGTCTAGTTGCTCATTCAGTCAATTATTGATTCATTGAAAATAGACCTCTAGTTCCAAGTTGTTCCTACATTTAAAAATCCTCAGTTCCCTTAGTGGCGCCTCATGCTTTCCAGTGGTACCAGAAGTAAGACATCAAGGTGCCCTGCAGGGAGCTCTTTATTCTGTTGTGCTCACCTTTTCTCACTGAGCTTCAGGTCCCTCTGTAACATTGTCAGGTCAATTTGGAAGTCATTTATGTGCAAGGCAAGTATGATCACATATGCAGTAATCTTCGCCTTCATAGAATCCGAAATTAAGTTCCGTAATCTAGAATATCAATGGCAATGAAGAAACAAAATTAAAGTCTAAGACAATTTCTCCAAAAGCAAAATAAGAACATCCAAGCGTATTCCCATATGCACTCAGGAACTAAAGGAAAGGAAAAGGAATGTAGATGGCTTGTTTGCCCTCCCAAGGTTCCTGGGCCTCATACACAGTGGAGCAGTGTGCCAGTCCACATTTCCCTCTGAGAGGGAGAGAGAAAGCTGGGCCTACACACTCCCTGGGTACCACTAGCACTTCGAGCTGGTGAGGGCCCTCTGAGTCTGTCCCCGCCTGCATAGCAGGGTTGCTGGGAAAACATTCATTCCCAAATCAACTGTGCTGATTCTTCAAAGCACACCCAGGAGCAGGAAACACATTCCATGCAGATGGCAGGAAGGAAAGCCCACGGGCATTGCTTGTGGGTCTTTCCCCAAAGTCCCCAAGTTGGCCTGCCCTTTCATGCAACGTTGCCTTTGCGAAGAACACCAGCTCTGTGGGACATCACGAAGGGCTCCTCAAAAGAAGTATGTGACGTAAAACAAGTCTCTATTGTAGGACTTCCCAGAGCTTCTAAGATTCCCAAAAGACAATACTTTTCCAAAAAGGACAGAGTAATATTTAGCGTTTGCTGAACTTTCTGGGGCCCCAGGAGACTTCCAAATGGCAGCAATCTCTTTAGCACTGCATATCTGTGGACATGAAATTGAGTCCAAGCCCCCGCTCCTCACTCCCCCTACCTGCTTTCCCTTGCACAGGAAAAATCCCAGAAACCACCCCCTGACCTGCCATTGTTGTACGTCAAGCAGGTAAAGTGCTTCAGCAGTTTGGTGTTGATGATGTGGGGAATGTCAGGTCCCAGGGAATCTACAACACAAAGTTAAGTTTTATCATTTTCTCTTAAAACTCTCAGGCCACACCTCAACCATGAGCTGAGAGAAAAGGCCAACAGCTGGGCCACTGTAATGACCAGAACCAGGTGGTAAGAGAAGCAGGACCCACAAAGCAGAACAGCCATGGCAAAATGCAGACACGCTCGGTGCACTTCTGCTGGCAGACCTCCCTGCAAGAGTGATGCTGGTGAGGGGCCAGTAACAAGAAACCACAGCCCGAGGCCTAAGGACACAGAATTTTTTTTTGAGACGTATTTTTGCTCTTGTTGCCCAGGAGGGAGTGCAATGGCACAATCTCAGCTCACTGCAACCTCTGCCTCCTGGCTTCAAGCAGTTCTCCTGCCTCAGCCTCCCAAGTAGCTAGGATTACAGGCATACCCCACCACACTTGGCTAATTTTGTATTTTTAGTCAAGATGGGGTTTCTCCTTGTTGGTCAGGCTGGTTTGGAACTCCTGACCTCAGGTGATCCACCCACCTCAGCCTCCCAAAGTGCTGTGATTATAGGCGTGAGCCACAGGCGTCCCAGTAGGACGCAGATTTAACATGACGTTAGAAAACAAAATTGTGCTGAAAGCTCAGAGAGACAGAGAGGGAAAGGTGGAATTGGAATGTGAAAATAAGAACTAAGTGGCTGGTCGAGGTGGCTCACACCTGTAATCCCAGCACTTTGGGAGGCCAAGGTGGACAGATCACCTGAGATCAGGAGTTTGAGACCAGCCTGGACAATACAGTGAAACCCCACCTCTACTAAAAATACAAAAATTAGCCAGGTAATGTGGTGTGTACCTGTAATCCCAGCTACTTAGGAGGCTGAGGCAGGAGAATCGCTTGAACTCGGGAGACGGAGGTTGCCGTGAGCTGAGATTGTGACACTGTACTCCAGCCTGGGCAATAGAGTGAGACTCCATCTCAAAAAAAAAGAACTAAGCAAATACAGACTGGGCGCGGTAGCTCACACCTGTAATCCCAGCCAGCACTGTGGGAGGCCGAGGCAGGTGGATCACCTGAGGTCAGGAGGTCAAGAACAACATGGCCAACATGGAGAAATCTCATCTCTACTAAAAAAAACAAAAATTAGCTGGGTGTGGTGGTGCCCACCTGTAATCCTAGCTACTTGGGAGATGGGGGCAGGAAAACTGCTTGAACCCAGGAGATGGAGGTTGTAGTGAGCTGAGCTCATAGCACTGCACTCCAGCCTGGGTGACAGAGTGAGAACCTGTCTCGAAAAAAAAAAAAAATGACTAAGCATATATAGTCATGCCCCACATGATAGTGTGTTTTGTTTTTTTTTTTTTTTTTTGTCAATGACAGACCACACATGCGACAATGGTCCCATAAGATTTTTTTAGACATAGGGTCTTGCCGTCACCGAGGCGGTGATGAAATCATAGCTCACTGTAACCTGAACTCCTAGTCTCAAATGCTCCTCCTGCCTCAGACTTCCAAAATAGCTGGGACTACAGGCATGTACCACCACACCCAGCTAATATTTTTAATTTTGTAGAGACAGTGCCTCGCTATGTTGCCCAGCCTGATCTCAAACCCCTGCCCTGAAATGATTCTCTCACCTTGGCCTCTCAGAGCACTGAGATATAGACATGAGCCACCATGCCCAGCTGGTCCCATAAGATTATAATATAGTTTTATTATTCCTTTTCTGTTTAGATATGTTTAGATACACAAATACCACTGTGTTACAACCGCCTATCATATTCAGTAGAGTAACATGCTGTAGAGGTTTACAGCCTAGAAGCAACAGATTATAGCATATAGCCTAGGTTTGTAGTAGGCTATACCATCTAGGTTGATGTAAATATACTCTATGATGTTTGTACAATGAAAACATTTCCTAAGGATACATTTATCAGAACATATCCCCATCCTTAAGCAACACATAACTACACTGAAAAACAACAGTATAGACTATTGGATGCCCAGTCACAGTACCAACAACTAAACACACCTTGTCCCTAAAACCATAGATATCTCCTGGGTTTCCAACTCTGGGTATGTATGAATGTGTGACCCACAAAGGGTCCTAGCTACAAGTGACCCTGGGTTACCATCAGATTGACTCTAGTTAGAAATAAGCCGACACAACACAAACCTGCCACAAGCCTTCGAGATACATGTGTATCTCATATACATACATATAAGTGCTCTCTTCTCTCTCTCTCTCTCTCTCTCTCTCTCTCTGGCTGATGTCTGTTCTAATAGTCCCTTAAAGTTTTCATTTGATTTAACCTGGATACTCTACTTCGCCTAATGAAGAACAGAAGTACCAAATGTCAGCTCTGGAAGAGCCCTGAACTATCATATAATCCATCATGCCCCAATTTTCAGATAAGAAAATGGGAGATCCAGAGAGAAAAGCAGTCCTGGCAAGTCCCCTTGACATGTCAGTAGTAGCGGCAGGAATCTCACATTTGACGGACTTGGACAGACATATCCATTTTCTTCTCTCATTAGAACTCATCTAAGAATTATAGACAAATAATAGACTAGAATACAATTAGAATAAAATGTCTATCATAGACTTACTTTTCCGCTTTACTACCTTCTGAGCTCGAAATTTGATAAGGGTATCCAAAAACCATATGCGTCGGGCCTGGTGGTCTCGACTCTCCACATTTGATGGCAAAGACTTCAGTGCGTCTATGACAAATGTGCAATGGCTAAAACAAGGAAAAGAAAGGGAGGCCTGTGTCAGGGTAAGATGTGCTGTCAGGAACTATTGCCCTCTTACAATGAGAATAGCAGGCACCTCTCACCCCTGACACACTCAACACCTGATGAAAGCCTGAGCAACAAGGCAAGATCCCAGCTCCACAAAAAATTAGCCAGCATTGGTGGCACACGCCTGTGGTTCCAGCTACTCGGGAGGCTGAGACAGGAGGATCACTTGAGCCCGGGAGGTCAAGGCTCCAGTGCACTGTGCTTGCGCCTCTGTACTCCAGTCTAGGTGACAGAGCAAGACCCTGTCTCAAAAAAAAAACAAAAAACAAAACCAAAAAAAAGCAGCTAATGAAGGACCAGCACACTCAACATTCCTTATAACAGGAGGAACACGGTTTAGAGCAAGGATCGATAAAGGGCTAGACAGTAAATATTTTAGGCTTTGGAAGCCACACAACCTCTGTTGCAACTACTTGACTCTGCCATTGTAGCGCAAAAGCAGCCACAGATATTACTTAAGTCAATGAACAGGGCTGTGCTCCAACAAAACTTTATTTATACATTACTTCTTCACAGGCAGCAGGCCAGACTTGGCATGTGGGCCATAGTTTGCTGACCTCTGTTTTCACAGTCAGGAGCATAGAGTCTGCAGGCAGCCTTCCTGGGTTTCAATCCTTTCTCTGCCATTTAATGGCTTGGGCAAGTTTCTTGACATCTAGCGCCCTGGTTTCTCCACCTATAAATTGGGGCCAGTGATAGTATAGGTACTCTCCTCCTAAGGATTTTTTTCTGGATGAAAAGAGACAATGCCAGTAAAGCACTTAGAACAGTGCTTGGCACAAATGGAAAGGCTCAGTCAATGCTCACCATTATTTTCATGCCGTTCTACTGCTAGCAAGACCCTGGACTCACAGAGATAAAAAGGCTCTTCAAGATCATCTCATAGCTGCCTTATTTTACAGATGGAAAAACTGAGGCTTCAAGAGGGAAGATTATAGCAGAACTCGAGGACTATTTTCAGACTCCCAGCTCAGAGCTTGTTCCTGCAACTGCCCCTGAGTTACAATAACATTAAGACAACTACAATCGAGGGGGTAGATCATGAGGTCAAGAGATCGAGACCATCCTGGTCAACAAGGTGAAACACCGTCTCTACTAAAAATACAAAAAATTAGCTGGACATGGTGGTGCACGCCTGTAGTCCCAGCTACTCGGGAGGCTGAGGCAGGAGAATTGCTTGAACCCTGGAGGTGGAGGTTGCAGTGAGCCAAGATCACGCTATTGCACTCCAGCCTGGGTAACAAGAGCAAAACTCCGTCTCAAAAAAAAGGCCAGGCACGGTGGCTCAAGCCTGTAATCCCAGCACTTTGGGAGGCCGAGGCGGGTGGATCACGAGGTCAAGAGATCGAGAATCCTGGTCAACATGATGAAACCCCGTCTCTACTAAAAATACAAAAAATTAGCTGGGCATGGTGGCGCGTGCCTGTAATCCCAGCTACTCCGGAGGCTGAGGCAGGAGAATTGCCTGAACCCAGGTGGCGGAGGTTGCAGTGAGCCGAGATCCCACCATTACACTCCAGCCTGGGTAACAAGAGCGGAACTCCGTCTCAAAAAAAAAAAAAGACAACTACGAACTAGTAATGAGCTCTTCTTTGGAAATAAATCTTTGAAGCAAAAAAAAAAAAAAAGTAATAATAATAATTCCAAGGCACTGGAAAGGCACTGGACTTCACTGACCAGTAAAATTTTAAAACAAAAATTGGAGGAACAAATCTCAGATTGACAATTCTTCATCAAAATGAAATTATTAAAAGAAAAAACTCAAAAGCAAAAAAACTCACCATCATCATAAAAGAAGCTGTTTTAATGCAAAAAGAGGATGAAGAAGGAAATAACCTCTGAATTATTTAAAATATACACTATTTTAAATACATAAATTTAACATTAGAAAAGTCCGCCTAGTATATCCTCACAGAGAAACGATCACTTTGGCCAGCACTCATTCCCAGGCCAGCATTTGGGCCCTACCAGTGACAATCAGCATCAGCATGACACTGGGTGACACAGGCAGCTCTGGTTCCCAGCCCTGGAGTAGAAGACCTCGCCAACTTCTGCCTTGTTGCAGGTCCCAAGCACTCAGAGACCAACCCTCTCCCTTGTTGTGACCCACAGCTCCTGGAAGCCCAAACATTCAAGAAAACACTGGCTTATTCATGTTCAAATGCTGAACAGACATACCTGCTCACTGACTGACACCCAAAGGACCTGCTCAGTGTCTGACTACTGCTGTGTCCCAACAGCACTCCCCAGAGCCCTCATCTGCCCAAGTTGGGCTACCTGTTCTCCTCAGTCATCTTCAGTATTTCTTCCGATGTGACGTTCCTGAAAGCTTCAGATGGACTCTGAAGAGCTTCATACTCCACAGGGGAAAGAACTAGTTACAGGTCAAGAATATAATCCAACCAAAATAGAAACATCCAACTAGCTTGATCTTCTCTTTCACAGACAGGGAAACTGAGGCTCAGAGAGGCAATCACACAGGGCAGATCATGTAAGGGCAGAGCTCGGTGACTCAGTTCTCAGACTCCCAGCCCAGAGCCCACTCCCCGCCCAGCCTTTTCTGCCTTTTCTCATCACAAAGCCACTACAGGCCTTTTCCTTCTGACTGGACCCATAGAGTGGTGAAATTCTAAGCTCCAACCCTTCCTCTTACAAAACTGGTCTTCCCTAGACTTTGGGCATTTACCTGGTTGAAAAGTTGTATTTTGACTATCCATGGAGAGTGACCCCCACAGGTCTGAGCTGTGGGCAGCATTTGGCATTTTACTGAGGAATGGATTTGAATCCCAGAGGGCTGGTCCCTTAGCTAGTGAAGCCGAGCTGACCTCCTGGCAAGAGCACTGGGCAACTGCAAAGGTTTGGATGGAGTTTCTTGTGAATGTCACAAGAACACAGACACCCTCAGAGAACCTGACTGTGCACTCACATGCAAACATCCCAACTTGTGAAATAAGGGAGCTTTTCTACTGCAAGGATACGATCTTCAAATTTATACACGTCTTCAGGCTTGGCTGCATCATCATAGCAGGGAGGAAGGTAGAGGGAGTCACCTTGCAAGTCATTGTGGATAGCATCACTGACCAGAGCTTTTCAATAAAGAAACAATCCATGTATCACCCTGTTTGCTTCAGGTTAGCCAACATTCCTTTCAGTCTATGTACCTGAGACCACAAGCGGTCTGGAAATCCCAAGTCTCAATGCATCCGGCAAAGTGACCTGGCCTCCCCATCAGGCTGACTGCTTCAGGACTGCTATCTTCACTCATGAACAAACATGCGCTAGGCAGTGGAGAAGGTGGAGGTGGCAAAGTTCTCCTCAAGTAACTTAGGATAGAGTTAGGAGAGACAGCTGTGCTAACAAGCATTTACAGTACAAAATGAAAAAGTGAAGGGCATCCAAAATAGCCTTTAATGGCTTAACTTCTAATATATTTTGCTACATACTGTAGGCAAAAAAACCTTTCAGAATATAACACTAACTGCCCTACAAGAATAACTATGTGGCCAGGTGTGGTGGTTCACACCTGTAATCCCAACATTTTGGGAGGCCATGGCGGGAGGAGGAGGGCTTGAGCCCAGGAGTTTGAGACCAGCCCGCGCAACATGGCAAGACCCTGTCTCTCCAAAAGGTGCCTGTGGTGCCAGCCACTGGGAGGCTGAAGCAGGAGGATCACTTGAGCCCAGGAGTTTACAGCTGCAGTGAGCCATGTCTGTACCACTCCACTCCAGTCTAGGCGATACAGCCAGATCCCATCTCCAATACATACATACATACATACATTTGTAAACGTGTTGAAATTTATATAATCATAGGGTATGGAAAGATTTTCCAAAAATTACTAGAATTCCATTCTTAATAGAAAAACTGCCTTGCCCACAGTAACAGTGGTGTGTGCCTATAATCCTAGCGACCTGGAAAGCTGAGGCGGGAGGACTGCTTGAAGCCAAGAGTTCAAGATCAGCCTGGGCAACATAGCAAGACCTCATCTCTGAAAACAGTAGAAAGAAAGCTGCTCTTACATTCTTCTAACGTATTTGAACAATAAATACTTTTTTTTTTCTGAGATGGAGTTTAGTTTTCGTTGCCCAGGCTGGAGTGCAATGATGAGATCTCAGCTTACTGCAACCTCCACCTCCCAGATTCAAGCAATTCTCCTGCCTCAGCTTCCCGAGTAGCTGGGATTACAGGCATATGCCACCACGCCCAGCTAATTTTGTATTTTTAGTAGAGACGAGGTTTCTCCATTGTTGATCAGGCTGGTCTCAAACTCCTGACCTCAGATGATCTGCCCGCCTCAGTTTCCCAGTGTTGGGATTACAGGCGTGAGCCTAAAATTAAAATTTAATTTAATTCAATTTAAAAATACAATTAAATACTCCAGCTGCTGAATACCAGAAAAAGAGCCACCAATCCCAAAGTGAAATGCTACCTCTGGAGGCTCATTTCCATCAACACATCAGCCTTTTTGACCAAAGCTTCCCTACAACTCACAAGGAAAGACCTGAGGCCTTCTCCCTCCTCTGTGCCCTGCAGGCCGTAACCCCAGCACTATGACCAAGGCACGCGCATATCCATCCCTTGACTGACTGTCCCTGTGCTTGACTGTGAGATCACTAGAAGACAAGGCCATGTCAGATGTTTCTTACTACTTCTGGAGGCTGTCTTTGAGAAGGCCTTCAGCAAGAGGCAGAAAGGAATCCAGCCCTAGCTCCCAGCATTCCATCTGTGGGTGGGTAAAAGATCTCAAGAGAAGAGAAAGCTGTCATTATGGACAGACTCTTACCCCAAGTTCCAAATGCTTACCAGTCACACCCTTTGTATCAATGATAGTCTCTGCAGCTTTAGCCACTGCACGATTCAAAGAATCACCGCCAACTTTGTTCATTCTCCTGGCGTTCAGAGCTCGTTTCTGTTTGGTGGTACCAAAGGCTTCAATACAAGAATCCATCTGTGTAAGAGATAAACCTGGTTACCGGAGACAGGACAGGCAGGCACTGCTCCTCGTAGCTGTGTCACTATGGGGACACACTCAGCATCCCGGAGCCATCACTACCTCACCTGTGAATAAGGCTGAATCGTACCTATTTACCTCACAGGATTGTTGTAAGCACCAAATGATATTAACAGACTGACCAATCAACAACATCTCCATCAGTAAAATAAAAAGACTTGACTAGAATTAGGGCTGGTAAATCTGTAGCACACAGTTTACCATTCTCCCATCCTATACCCATAACAGGGCTAAGAGGTCACTGACTCCTTCCCCCTGAGCAAAGGTAGCTTCACACCCCTTCTCAATACAGTGCTCCAGATAGCACCAGAGATTCAATCAATTTGCCATCTTGAGGTGAGATGACCTTTGCAGGGACCTTCTACACTGAAAATCCTAAAGTTTACTTTGTTTTAACATGAAAGTTTTCAGGCTACAACCAATATATTCTAAAACTTGGACAAAATCCTAAAAATAAGCATCATGCTACACCTGTATCAGCCTGGAGAACCAACATCAAACACTGGCACAGAGCTGTGTGCCCCAGATGGGAGAGGGGCTGTTCTCTCTGTGGGACCAAGAAGGCTTCTGCAGGTACAAACTAACTGTCCAGCGAAACAGACTGAATGAGCTGGGAGCAGCTAGGCAGACCCTTGAGTTCAATAAGCTCATTTTAATGATGGAAAAACCAGGGTTTAGAAGGAACTTGCTTAAGGTCCCACATCTTCATTTTCTCACACTCACCTTTTCTCTATAAGTTTTGGTCTGACTCTCTTGTACCAGTTCACTCTCAACTGATTCATCTATCAAAACAGACAGAAAGAAAAGTCAAGTGGAAGGCTTACAAATAGTAATAGGGTTTAATATTCATTTGTCTATCTAAGAATAATAGATTTTTTTACTATAGGACTTCCCTGAGCCTAACATGAGTGCATACTGTGAATATTTAATACGTAGCTTTAGTATACAATTAAAGAACTTGAAGAATAAATGAGAGAGTCAAATGAAGGGGTCATCCAGCCCAACTTCTTCATTTTAGAAATGACTCGCCCCAGGGCAGTTCACCAGGTGGTGGCAAACAGGATTGGAAAACAAGTCCTTGGCTCTTCTGAAGAAATAATTTTGCTTTCTTAGTGAAAGACCTAAAAGCAGGCATGAACATGAGGTATGTGGTATTTATACGATGCTCTCTAATCATCTACAAATTACTCAAATAAGGGGCAGTAGAACCTAGCAGACAACAGCACAAGCTCTCGAGTGACCTTGCCTGTTATCTCAGACATCACCCATGACAAGGTCATCTAACTTCTGTGCCAGTTTCATCACTGGTTAAAAAGAAAAACAACAGTACTTACTCCAGAAGGTTGCTGTGTACATCAAAAGTGCTTAGAACAGTGACTAGCACATAATAAGGACTTAAGATAAATGTTATCTGTGTGTGTGTACTAGCTAGAATAAACTCCTACTTACAAATTTCTTACATACAAGAGCAAAAATCTGTTTAATTAACATGTTAAAATTACAATTTTCCTTGCCTCCTTGGATTTTATAAGAACAATTGGAGAATGACTTAAATATAGTTATATATGTTTGCAAAGCAGAGGGACCCCTACGAAATTCACAGACAGGTGTCAGGACTCAAGAGCCCTTTAAAATTATGTGTAAAATTTGGCCAGGCACAGTGGTTCACACCTGTAATCCCAGCACTTCGGGAGGCTGAGGTGGGTGAATCACTTGAGGCCAGGAGTTGAAGACCAGCCTGGCCAACGTGGTGAAACCCCATTTCTACTAAAAGTACAAAAATTAGCCGGGCATGGTAGTGCACACCTATAACCCCTGCTACTCAGGAGGCTGAGGCAGGAGAATCGCTTGAATCTGGGAGGCAGAGGCTTCTGTGAACCCAGATGGTGCCACTGCATTCCAGCCTGGGTGACAAAGTAAGACTTGGGTCTCAAAAAAAAATAAAAATTAGGTGTAAAATTCCATATTTTTTTAAAATCCCATATATATATTTGTGTGTTATATACGTTTCTCAGAAGTAGGTCCAGGTCCTCATCAGATTCTCAAAAGGGGTAGAAGCACTGCTTTGAGAGAATAAAGCTGGAAGTAATGCCTCTGAGGTATCAGGCAGATTCACCATGATCCCAGCGATTCTTATCTACTACGCTATCCTGCCATGGTTCTCAATATTCAAGAGCATCACTAAGGATTCAAGTTCTGAGATTTAAGGAACAGAAGCCCCTTAAGTATGACCCTCTTATTTATTATTTTGGAAGGTCTCACTCTAGCCCTGAGCATTCTAACATGACAAAGCAGAGAAGCAATGTAAATTCTTCCACTAGATTAGGGAAAAAAATACATCTTCCCCAAATTAGTGAGGAGACTTGTCCTCAACATGAAAGTTACTATACAACCTAATAAGCAATTTTTTGTCTACCAGAGATTCTAAAACCTCTTTATCCTAATTATAACGGTTAAGAATTAAGAAAGGTCTTTGATGGAAAAGATTTTATATCAGACATGTCCTTTAATATTCTGCTCTGATCATTGCACAGCTTGCTTTTATGAACCTCCCACCTCAAGTCTCTAAACACCATGGGGACAGGATGTCTTGCTTACTGCCATATCCACAGCCTCATGCCTGATGCAGGAGATCATCAATAAGTGCATGCTGAATACAAACCTCTAGGCCAGGCTCAGTGGCTCATGCCTGTTATCCCAGCACTTTGGGAGGCTGAGGCAGGTGGATCACCTGAGGTCAAGAGTTTGAGACTAGCCTGGCCAACATGGTGAAACCCCGTCTCTACTAAAAATATAAAAATTAGGCAAGTGTGGTGGCATGCGCCTGTAGTCCCAGCTACTTGGGAGGCTGAGGCAGGAGAATTACTTCAACTTGGGAGGTGGAGGTTGCAGTGAGCCGAGATCACACCACTGTACTCCAGCCTGGGCGACAGAGTGGGACTCCATCTCAAAAAAAAAAAAAAAAAAACACACACACAATATATATATATAACCATTTTCTCAACACAGACAAAGCAGAGAAAAAAAGAATAAAATAAATAAATGAAAATAACTACAAAATGTGTTTATAAATCTAAAACTCAGGCCAATTAATCCAGCAAACCCAAACTATGCATTGTTTCTGTCAGCTTTCATGGCTGGGACCTACCTGAAAACAGTGGCTGCATGTTAAACAATTCAGCATCATATACTTCCATTTGGCCAGAGGTCTTGTTCAAAATTCCCACAAAGTGCCTGAATAAAGAAGGAATAATAGAAGTAACAATGGATTATTCAAAAATATTATTTGTACAGCTTCCTTTTTCCTTTTTGAGATGGAGTTTCCCTCTTGTTGCCCAAGCTGGAGTGTAATGGCACGATCCTGGTGCCCAGCAACCTCTGCCACTGGGTTCAAGTGATTCTCCTGCCCCAGCCTCCTGAGTAGCTGGGATTACAGGCATGCACCACCAGGCCCAGCTAATTTTGTGTTTTTAGTAGAGATGGGGTTTCTCCATGTTGGTCAGGCTGGTCTCGAGACCTCAGGAGATCCACGTGCCTCAGACTCCCAAAGTGCTGGGATTACTGGCATGAGCCACCACAGCTGGCCTTTTTTTTTTTTTTTTTTTTCAGACAGAGTCTTGCTCTGTCTCCCAGGCTGGAGTGCAGTGGCACGATCTCAGCTCACTGCAACCTCCACCTCCCAGAGCAATTCTACTGTCTCAGCCTCCCAAGTAGTACAGGCGCATCCCACCATGCCTGGCTAATTTTTGTATTTTTAGTAGAGATAGGGTTTTACCATGTCAGCCAGGCTGGTCTCGAACTCCTGACCTCAGGTCAGGAGTGCTGGGATTACAGGTGTGAGCCACTGCGCCTAGCCCTTTTCCTGTTTAAAAGTTGTCAACCTTCTCTCTGCCCGCACACCTGAGGAATGTATCACCTACTCATGGGTAACAATAATCTCCCCTTCCCTCTATCCCAAAGCAATTCTCTGCAGGGAGAGGGAAAAGGAAAGGATGGGATGGGATGGGATCGGGGGACATGAGGTAGTCCTGGGGGAAAAAAAAAAGCTACCAGGTAATTCTGGTAGTTGATCACATTTGGGCTTGCTGCTGTACAATAATGAAAAGCTCTTTTGGGGTGTAGGAATCTAGAATTACACTAGAATTTATGGCACACCAGTTTTACGGTGGCAAAACCAAGTAAATGCGGAGGAGATCAATCCGAACTAGAGCATCTTTGAGAGGGGAGAGTGCAGGTTATAGTTCAGAGCATGTATACACCAATCTGACCTCTACTGGAGTATGGTTTAGCAGGGCTCTGAAAGGGCCTGGTTTGTGTTTCATCGCTGGGTGCCATCACGGGGCCCTGTCTTCATCACGCCAGCACCCGAGAGTTACACAGTTCTGGCTGGACAATCTTCATTGTACAGAGGAGAAGACTAGGGGTTAGTGATGGGCAGAGTTGCCCAGCCACTCAGTCAATCAGCAGCACAGCTGGACAGGAATCCCAGGTTCCTCTTTCCCAGCCCAGATCCTTCAACACTACCAAGTTCTTTACCTGTCATTAGTTCCCAGGTAAACTTCACACAAGCTTTGACCTAGTCACACATTCCAAATTAATGGAGAGAGCTGCCTTTTGGAATAAGACAGCTATAAATAAACAAGGTTACAAATGAATGAGGTTTTTAGGAAATTTAAGTTCTCTTTTCTTTATAGTAATGTCTATAGGCTGGGAGGGGAAGGCTCTGGGTCTACGAAGAACACAGGGATCATCTAGTAAACCTCTCTAGATTTCTTCTACTGCCCCTAAAACAGACTGGAAACAGCAGTGCCAATGCTGCCACCACTCCCTTCCCACTGTCCCTTCCCCTGCCATTACCTGCACAAAGTGTTGCATTTGAGGGCTCCAGTCCCAAAATTGTTTCCCACATAGGAAAGCCTATCTGTTTCAGCTGCCTATAATGCAGAGAGGGGAAACTCCATTTACAACCAATGTTGAAAGGTATTAAGCATCATCTCTCTTTTCTACATTTGCTGAAGCTTTAGAATCCAGACCCACAATGGATTAGAACTAGTTCATCTCTGGCAGATGATCCAGCCCCACTATCTCTAAGGCAATACGGGATGTCCCTGGAGGGAAAGCAAGATGACTTTTGAAAGAGAAGCCTCAGATATTGCTAGCTTCTAAATGGTATGAAAAGCTCTTGGGGGAATTCTACCACAGGACTTGAGAGAGAGGCCCTGGGCTTCTAGCACTTAGAGGTATGCAACAAAGTGATTCTGTCAGCAATCTCTCTTTGGCCCAAAGTCCAAGCCCTTTTTGATCTTCTTTGCCCATCTCTCCCATGACTATTCTTTATATACACTCAAGACCATGGCTGACTCACTTCCCAATCATAAGCAAGCTTTCCTGCTTCTCTGCATTTATCCTCACTACACTTTCCACTTGGAACATCAAACCTTGACCGCCAAATTCTCATTTCGTTCTTCGAGGTTCAGCTCCAACATGCCCTCCCCAAGGAAGGCATTCTGGCAGAGACCTCTCCTCCCACTGAGCTCACTCTGCTCTGTACTCTTCCCACGTGGCCTCAGAGCTTTGTGTAAAAGTGTCTCTCACAGCCAGTTCTCATCTCTCTAGAGCTGAGCTTCTCAATCCAGGGAAATCCACTCTAGTGCTAGTGCGTAGAGACCAGGGATACTGTCCCCACAATGAACAATTATTGGCCCAAAATGTCAATAGTCCTGAGGTTGAGAAACCCTGCTCTAGAGTACGAACTTCCTCCGAGTGGGGCCAGGCCTGATTTGGCTGTTTCCCTAGAAGCTTGCAGCACAGGGAACGGAGGGGGTTCCATAAATGCTTGTTGAAAGAACAAATGAATGAATGAAAGATGGAGTTTGTCCCCACATCCCAAGTTGCTGGGCATCAGAGTTCTTCAAAGGTCCTTTTGCTACTCCCTTTTTCCTCCCCTCACTCCTTCCCATATCCACACACTCCCAGGGTGGAGGCACCTGGCAACTAATGCACTTACCAGGATCCGTTGATTCCTCTTCCTGGGGTTGGTGGAATCTTTGTTCTCATACAAGGTAAAGCGCATGTTGCCTGGACTCTGCAGCCTCCCGTTGGAGAACTGGACTGTAAGAGTGTAGCCCAAGAATAAGATGAGAGCAGAAGAACACATAATGTATGGCGGGACTAGACTGTCACTGGGAGGGAGGGAGTGTCGGAATGGGGATGGCAAGGAAGCTTGGGTCCTGACCTCAAGGGAAATGGAGGAGATCCGGGCCAGCTGAGAAGAGAGGGTAGGGAGGTGTGAGAACCCTGGGGAGGGGCTGTGACAAGAGGGAATGAATGTCTGGGCGAGGGAGCCTGGCAGCAAAGGCCTGGTCCACACCTAAAGTGACAGAAAGAACCCCTGCCCAGTGAAGAGAGGGAAATGGGGGAGGTGGGAGACCTGGTGGGTGAGGGGACAGCAGGGTCCTGGACACAGTCCTGGAGAGCGGGTGCCTGGGATATTCCTATCCGGTGGGAGGTAGTGACAGAAAGACGGCAGTTTCAGAGGGGAGCCCTGACCGAGCCCAAGAGAATGGTGGAGACTAGTGGGGTCCTGGCCCCGCTGGGAGGGGCCCAACAGAGGGCGAGAGGGCAGCTGAGGCACCGAGACGAAAGGGGAGAGGGTTAGAGGAGCTCTGCTCCAGATCCGCCGTCTTTACCCAGTACAGCTCTCTGGCTTCCAGCGGGCGCCCCACAATACAGCCACTTCGCACTCGGCAACACCTCTGCCGCCATCTCGACTGTCTGGCCTCCAAGCACAGGAGTTAAGATAGCAGCAGCCACAAGAGCTCTTTTAAACACGAGGGAAGCCCAGGCCGCGCGGCTAGCGGAAAAGGCGTGGTTCCGCCGGGCACTGCCCAAGGTGCGCGAGACACGTGCCCCGCCCCCCGCGTAGAGAGGCGTGGTTTCCGCTTACACGGTGCCACACCCCCCGCACGGCCGGCCGAGGCGCAGCACCTGATTGGCTCAGCGCTCGCCGCCACTCTGGGTTTTGTAGGTCCAGAGGCCGAGGAGCCAAAGGGTCCTGCAGCTTCAGTCTAAGCTTCCCGTGGGCTTTCTTCCCGCTCAGCACCGTCTACAGAGAGAATAGTCTCTCTCTCTCTCCTACCGTGACAAACACATCTTCCCAAAACCTGAAAGACCAAGTTCAAATTTAGAATTCTCTGATCGGAACTGCTTGACCCCCAACTAAATGTGGCCGCTGGCGAAGAACCATCTGGAGAGCCTCCCACCTGCACACGAGGAGATCCAGCTCTAGGTACAAGCTTTGTCCACTGTAGGGCTGTTGGGCCCCACAGGGTTGTGAGGTGTCCCTTATGTTGTGCTGAAGTGCAGGATCCAAGAAGTAAAGAGACAGGACACTGAAGAACTGGTGAAGAGTATCTGGACTCATGGGGCCATGCCACCTATGAGGGGAGGCAGGCGAAGGCCGGAACGCTTAGAAGCGTCTGTATTTATTAGGTACAAGCAGGGGGAAGGGTCGTAAATTAGGTCATTATCTATAGGCTTAGTGATAGGGCCTACATAATCACGTGAGTCGCAAGCGAGAGGACCACCCCATTATGTCATCTGGGCAGAGAGGTGGGCCGTGCGCAGTAGTAGAGGGTCATGTACAGAAAAGGGGTCCACCCCCATTAGGTTACCGTGGCAAGGAGGTGGGCTGTGTGCAACAGGTGTTGTGGCGGCACTTCTTATCTGGGGGCTGGAGAGTCAAAGGATTTCTAATAGTAAGATACTGTAAGCCAATGCAGTGGGAGCTGACAGACTTGTGCTCTTCTCTTAAGATATTTATGGGAGGCTGATTTGAGCTAACACAGAAGCGAGAAAAGGCTGACGGGGTGTACAGCCATTGTGACTAGTCACATCAGAGGGGTTCTTCTCCCTCGATTATTTGCAGGATCTCAGGCCAGAGGCCTACTTTCCACAGGAACTGGATGCAAGGTGCTACAACTCCTTTATCAGGAGGAGAGGCTCTTGCTCCAAGCCTGCCATACAGCGTATGACCTTTGAGGCAGGGACGCCACCTGGGTCTTTGGTTCTTGTCCTGGTCTGGCTGTTTTCCCATGTACTGCTTCTGTTCTGTGACTGCTGTAGGCATTCCTTCTACTATAAACTACTATATGGTTATATAGAAGGATTCTATAAATCAGCCCTTAATGTGTCAGTACAGCTCTGACTACAATACCTATATGATTATATAGAAAGATTATATGGAACTAAGTATGATTATATATATAAGCTAGATATAGTAAGCAGTAAATTAGTATATGATTATATAGAAAGGTTATATGGGACTAAGTAAGCAGCGAGTTATACTTCAGGCACTAATTGTGCCTGGGGTCTGCACATTTCTCCTTCCTTGGTGGCTCTGGGGGGGTGTTACCCACAGTCCACAGTCTGGCCAACAGCTCCCCACCGTGGGCCGTGGCGGGCACACCTGTGTCCCAATCAACCCTGAGGTGAAGGAACAGAAGCCCAGCAAACCCAGAGCATTTGGGCAGGAGATCCTGAAGTGGGATAGAAGAGTCTGAGCTGATGGACATGTCCCTTTTTCACTGCCGATTCAACCCTTCTTCTGCACGGGGAGTTTTCAGAGCAGAAAAAGGGCGAAAGCAGGGCCTTTAACCATGGACCCTGGCCGAGGACCCTGCCCAAAGATGCATTCCACTGAACGGCAAGAATTGGGGTTGACTCCTCTCTGTCCTCCAGATCACCTTCTTTCAAGACTCTCTGCTTTCCACACATGCTCACATCCACCTCCAACACTCAGGACCCTAGGACTAACCCTAAAGCCTGCACGCCCCTTTGCCTGAGTGAGCACTTGTCACGCTTTTCTAATAACCCAATCTCAAACTTAAAGAAACACTGCAAGAACTTTTTTTGCCCTGAAACATTGAGTACGTTGTCAACCTGATATCCTTTCACCCCTGAAGACTATAGTATTTCCTATAGAAAGGAACATTCCCTAAATAACAAAACAGCCATCAGAATCGGCAAACTGCCAGGCGCTGTGGTTCACGCCTGAAATCCCAGCACTTTGGGAGGCAGAGGCAGGTGGATCTCTTGATTCCAGGAGTTTGAGACCAGGCTGGGCAACATAACAAGACCCTGTCTCTACAAAAAATAATTAGCCAGATGTGGTGGCACACACCTGTCATTCCAGCTACTCAGAAGGCTGAGGTGGGAGGATCGCTTGAGGCTGGGAGGCAGAGGCTGCAGTGAGCTGTGATGTTGCCACTGCACTCTAGCCTGGGTGCCAAAAAAAAGGGAATTAACACTGGTACATTACTACCATGTGATCCTCACATCTCATTTAAGTTCACCCATTGTCCCAATGTTTGTTGTTTGTTTTTTGAGACAGGATCTCACTCTGTCACTCAGGCTGGAGTGCAGTGGCAACCAGGGCTCACTGCAGCCTTGACCCTCCAGGCTCAAGTGATCCTCTCAACACAACCTCCCGAATAACTGGGAATATAGATGTGCCACCACACCCAGCTTTTTTGTTTTGTTTTGTTTTAATTTTTCAGTTTTTTTTTTTTGTAGAGACTGGGTCTCACTATGTTGCCAGGGCTGGTCTCAGACTCCTGGGCTCAAGCAATCCTCCCGCTTTGGCCTCCCAAAGTTCTGGGTTTATAGGTGTGAGCCATTGCAGCTGGCCCAATCATGTTTTTATAGTAAAAATGTCCCATCAAGAATCATGTGTTGGCTGGGTGCAGTGGCTCACACCTGTAATCCCATCACTTTGGGAGGCCGAGGTGGGTGGATTACCTGAAGTCAGGAGTTTGAGACCAGCGTGGCCAACATGGTGAAACTCTGTCTCTACTAAAAATACAAAAATTAGCCAGACATGGTGGTGAGTGCCTGTAATCCCAGCTACTTGGAAGTCTGAGCCAGGAGAATCACTTGAACCCAGGAGGTGGAGTTGCAGTGAGCCAAGATCACGCCACTGCACTCCAGCCTTGGCAATAGAGTGAGACTCCATCTCAAAAAAAAAAAAAGAACCATGTGTTGCATTTAGCTTTCATAGGCCTTCTCCCTTGGAAGGCTACCTTGCTCAACCCCACATCATGATTTTTGGATTGGATTGTTCAGGGAAGGAAAAGGGAAGAAGAAGAAAGAAGAAAGAAGGCTGAAGAAAGAAGAGCTTAATTGTGTGATTGTCTCCCCCATTGATCATTTTCTCACTAAACTTATTTGGGGTTAACAATAAACAGTTTGGGGCCGGGCACGGTGGCTCAAGCCTGTAATCCCAGCACTTTGGGAGGCCGAGGCAGGTGGATCACGAGGTCAAGAGATCGAGACCATCCTGGTCAACATGGTGAAAACCCATCTCTACTAAAAATACAAAAAATTAGCTGGGCATGGTGGCGCGTGCCTGTAATCCCAGCTACTCGGGAGGCTGAGGCAAGAGAATTGCCTGAACCCAGGAGGTGGAGGTTGCGGTGAGCTGAGATCGCGCCATTGCACTCCAGCCTGGGTAACAAGAGCGAAACTCCGTCTCAAAAAAAAAAAAAACAATAAACAGTTTTGGGATTAATAAATAGATTTATGTTTGTTTTGATCACTGCTTTATGTCCAACTCCTGAACATAGTAGACCCTCAATAAGTACGGAACAAATCAATGAATGACAGGGCAAGGAATGGGCCTGAATTATCACTAATCTTGGAAGCCTAGCACAGGGACTGGCTTCCAAATTGTTTGTTACCAAACTCAAAGATGTTTGGTAATATTGGTTGAAATCAACTAGCATGGAGCTTACACATAACAGACTCTGTAAGTGTTTTTTGGTTGAATGAAAATATGAAAAGTTAAATCAAAGTTAAAGGTGACCAAGATAACAGTGGGTACAAGGAGCCAAACATAGTTTTTTTTTTAGAGACATAGTCTTGCTCTGTCACCCAGGCTGAAGTGCAGTCTCACAATCTTGGCTCACTGCATCCTCTGCCTCCCAGGTTTAAGCAATTCTCTGCCTCAGCCTCCCGAGTAGCTGGGATTACAGGCACCCACCATCATGCCCAACTAATTTTTGTATTCTTAGTAAAGATTAGGTTTCACCATCTTGGCCAGGCTGGTCTTGAACCCCTGACCTTGTGATCCAGCCGCCTCAGCTTCCCAAAGTGCTGGGATTACAGGCGTGAGCCACCACACCCAATCAGAACCAAGTATAGTTCTAAGACAAGTATCTTGGTCCCTCATGATATAGGAATACATTACATGGCCTTGTTACTCAAAGTGTGGTCCATGGAAACAGCAGCCTTGACATCACCTGGGAACTTGTTAGAAATGTAGGATCCAGCTGGGCGCAACGGCTCAATCCTGTAATTCTGGCACTTAGGGAAGCCAAGGCAGGTGGATCACGAGGTCAGGAGTTCTAGACCAGCCTGACCAAATGGTGAAACCCCGTCTCTAGTAAAAATGCAAAAATTAGCCGGATGTGGTGGCACCTGTAATCCCAGCTACTCAGGAGGCTAGGCAGGAGAATCGCTTGAACCCAGGAGGCAAAGGTTGCAGTGAGCCAAGATTGTGCCACCGCACTCCAACCTGGGTGACAGAGTGCGACTGTCTCAAAAAAAGAAAAAGAAAGGAAAGAAGGAAGGGAGGAAAAAGAAATGTAGGATCTCCAGCCAGGCACAGTGGCTCACACCTGTAATCCTAGCACTTTGGGAGGCCAAGGTGGGCGGATCACCTGAGGTCAGGAGTTCAAGAGCAGCCTGGCCAACGTGGTGAAACCCCATCTTAAAGAAAAAGAAGAAGAAAGGTAGGATCTCCAACCCTATCAGATCTTCTGAATCAGGATCTGCAGGTGATTCATGTGCACTTGAAGTTTAGGAAGCACTGTTGTACAAGACCGATTCCCTTTTAAGGCACATCTGTGCCAGTCAGAAAATTCTGTGAAAGTCCTCTGGATTGACTGTTTTGTATTGAGGTGAAAGAATGAAGAGTATAACACCCCCACTGAAAGCAAAAACTCCAAGAATTACCACAAGCAAGAATTCCAAATTATAGAGATTATATCTATGGAAATAAAGTGTTGACGGTGGGGCATCCGGGAAGGGGATCATAGTATAGCCCTGTGTTTTTTAAATATTTAACACTGATTCAAAAGACACACATACATACCACGTACATATACATACATGCCTGTATACCTGGGATGGGGCAGGATGGAGGGAGCCCTACTCAGGCATTAACAAAAATGCAAAAGCCTTTTTTATATTCAAATCATGGATAATCACAGGCAGAATTTACCACATAATATTTGTTTGGAAATAATTCAGAGACATCTGGAGGTCTTCTCTCTTAATATCATTTTTCAGAGAGGGAAAATGGTTTTCAAGAGGGGGAAAGGCGAGGGAGAAAAGCAAAGTCCTCCTTTCCTGGGGTAATATCTCCATCTGCTGGTATTTCAGGATAACGCTGAGGAAGACCTGAAAAGGCAAGTCAGATTCCATGCTGTGTTTGC